CTTTTTTTTTGGGGGTGGGGTTTGGGGGGGGGGGGGGGGGGGGGGGGGGGGGGGGGGGGGGGGGGGGGGGGGGGGGGGGGGGGCCCCCCCCGCCCCCCCCCCCGGGCGCCCCCCCGGGGGGGGGGGGGGGGGGGGGGGGGGGGGGGGGGGGGGGGGGGGGGGGGGGGGGGGGGGGGGGGGGGGGGGGGGGGGGGGGGGGGGGGTTTTTGGGGGGGGGGGGGGGGGGGGGGGGGCGGGGGGGGGGGGGGGGGGGCCCCGCCCCGGGGGGCCCCCCCCGGGGGGGGGGGGGGGGGGGGGGGGGGGGGGGGGGGGGGGGGGGGGCCCCCCCCCCCCCCCCCCCCCCCCCCCCCCCCCCCCCCCCTTTTTTTGGGGGGGGGGGGGGGGGGGGGGGGGGGGGGGGGGGGGGGGGGGGGGGGGGGGGGGGGGGGGGGGGGGGGGGGGGGGGCCCCCCCCCCCCCCCCCCCCCCCCCCGGGGGGGGGGGGGGGGGGGGGGGGGGGGGGGGGGGGGGGGGGGGGGGGGGGGGGGGGGGGGGGGGGGGGCCGCCCCGGCCCCCCCCCGCCCCCCCCCCCCCCCCCCCCCCCCCCCCCCCCCCCCCCCCCCCCCCCCCCCCCCCCCCCCCCCCCCCCCCCCCCCCCCCCCCCCCCCCCCCCCCCCCCCCCCCCCCCCCCCCCCCCCCCCCCCCCCCCCCCCCCCCCCCCCCCCCCCCCCCCCCCCCCCCCCCCCCCCCCCCCCCCCCCCCCCCCCCCCCCCGCCCCCCGCGCGGCCCGGGGGGGGGGGGGGGGGGGGGGCCCCCCCCCCCCCCGCGGGGGGGGGGGGCCCCCCCCCCCCCGGGGCCCCCCCCCGGCGGGGGGGGGGGGGGGGGGGGGGCCGGGGGCGCCCGGGGCGGCCCCCGCGGCTTCTCTTTTCTTTTTTTTTTTTTTTTTTTTTTTTTTTTTTTTTTTTTTTTTTTTTTTTTTTTTTTTTTTTTTTTCTCCCTCCCCCCCCCCCCCTCCCCCCCTTTTTCCTTTTTTTTTTTTCTTTTTCCCCCCCCCTCTCCCCCCCCTATACTATAATATAAACACAGACGGTTTTTATAAACACATACAAACATCTGTTACAATTTTATTAAGAGCATTCGCTTATGACCCGTTTTTGGACCAAGCTTTGCTTGATGCCAAGACAAAGTCGTTAAAAAGAATATTTTGTTGGTTTATCTAGGAAGTTATATTATTTTGAACCGACATTATTTGTATCAAACATTTGATTGGCCTTTTTATGTTCTATACTTGGGCTATGGCCTATGAGGGAAATAAATAACGCAAGATAATTTAAAATAAAATAATTGTTTATGCATTAACATTTATTTTCTACATTACTAGTCCTTAATCTAAACTTAAATTTTATTTCTAACTAAATATAATTGAACTAAATCTCTACAAATATTGAAATGATTTTTAATTTTCATGTGTAAAAAATCTTGTACAAATTTATTGAAGCCCGCATTATATTAGTACATATTTATTTTATTCATCTTAATACATACTTGTAATATTACAAAATTTAATATACATAAATTCCCCTAACATTCGCCGGAGAATATGCAGACTATTATACAAATAATTTTGCTCCTTCGGACCTCAATTTTTATAAATAAATTCAATAATCTGTAACATTTAAATAATAAAACATTAAAACGTCGTACATAAATTATACTGACTTATATTACAATAATGAAACCGAGTGTAAAGGTTAGGCGGCAAGGCCCAGTTTGCGTCTTTTCCTGAACTTCTTGACGTAGGCCTCCACAAGGGATTGAATCTTGGCCGGGTTGATCTCGCCCGTCTTGTTGTGACATATCTGAAACACCCGAGTTATTAATTTCATTTATTTAAAAAAAGTATGTAACTTAATTTTCCATTAATTATCAAGCTTCTAGATAATTACTTAAAAAAGTATGTCACTGATCAGTTATTGTTTTCACTCTGCGATAGACAAATCTACATGCTTAGTGCCATCAGAATGTGTTTTTTTGTTTAAAATTAGCTACAGATTACAAATATTTACACACACACAAATATATATTGCATATGATGATGTTAATTTAAATAATCATTGAATATGACTACATCATTGAACTGGTAATAGGAAATATTCATCTCATCTCAACATCACTCAACAACTCATCATTAAAATATCTTGTGTCTGAACAATTCGGCATTTTTTTTCACGACAAGTCACACCCAAAGAGGAAATAGTCTGTCGTGGCGTGCATGTCAACGGAAACTAGAAGTATATTTTTATGTTTCCTATGCCGGCTGGAATACTGAATTAAAAAGAAAAATAACTTAGTTATTAGATTATTCATAATGTATAACGATCAATGTACCTTGGGTACGGCGCGCCGCAGTATGTGCTTGTATTCGTCCTTGGTGACGTGTTTTTTGTTGTAGTGCGGCTTCAGCACCAGCTTCACTTCTTCTACCACACGCTCTTGACGATTCAGCTTCTTCAGGAACTGCAAATTATATATCCATATGCTAATCGTTAAAACGATTGTACGAAATGAGTTCTATTAGTATTGTATAATAGGAAGGAAGTACATTTTGGTTTAAATATTCACTACCTATGTGAAAGGGGTTACTTTATTCATTCTCACCCAGTGCAGCTTGCTAAGACATACACTACATATATTATACTACTACAGATACTCCTAACACTTATGACATATAAATTGAAATACACATTTTAGCCCACTCACTGGCAAGCTGTTCAACACTTATAATTTGAAATAGTTTTACATTAATTTGTGTAAACTAGGTTTCTGCTAACCTTGCTCTTGACTTGCATTTCGACCGCAGAACTCGGCAGTTCATCCAAGATCTTCAGGTTCTCATCGTCTATCTTGACGCCCACCTGCGTCTTTCCTGAAATAAGACAGAAAGATGTCGATATACATACTACTGGACATCTGACGAGGGAACTACTTACGCTAACCAACGATTAACCTTACCTTTCTTTTTGTTGAGTTTAACCGGCACCTTGGCAGCGTTCTTGCCGCGACGGCCGCGAAGGATCGCCTCGAACGAGTCCCTAGGCTCGAACAGGTCGCCGAAATCTGACGATCCGGGCGAATAGGGTGAGGCGCCCCCTTCGGACGGGGGTCGCACGGCTTGCATCGGCTTCACCGGGTTGGACTTGATCGGCGAAGGCTTGCCCGGGAAGAGCTTAGCGGGCGGACGCGTCGGCGACGGCAGCACGATTCGGGGCTGCAGTTGCGGTATCGCAGCTCCGGCCCCTGCCGGCTCGTTCGCCTCACCCGGTGGAGGCTCCGGCGACGTGTCCCGCGTAGATTGTAGCAATGCCAGCACCTTCTCGGCTGGCGATATCGGCCTCCGGTCTAGCACCTCGTCCGCCGACATATTAGTTCGCTGCGCCGCTTCCAGTGTCATCAGAGTTCGCGGCGGCGTCGGCG